CCCGGCCTCTGCTCCGTCACCTGTGTGGGTCCTTGGCAGACACGGGGCTCACTGGCAGCAGGTAGAGGGTGGGTTGGGGCCAGGCTTCCCAAGGCCAGCCAGGTGACTGCCCCAGGGCAGACTGAGATCTGAGGCCGCTGTACCACAACCAGGGCCAGGAGACAGGACCGGAGGCTCCTCGGAGCCCCTCTGTCTACGGCTTAACAAGGAAGACCGGAGTAGTGACTGGAATTACATTTAACGTTACAGCCACACAACCTCTGGGTTTGGCTTGGTGCGTTTTTGAGGCAACAGGAAGCAAGGTTGGGTCAAACTTAATATCGCCTTGGCGAATGTAGCTTGGCCTGGCAATTCCTATTTTCAGATACATTTGGAAGCTCACAAGGTACTAAAGTCAGATCGTATTCCTTGCTCTAGAGAAGTATTCTGAAAACGTACCTGGACCATGTGACCGCCCTACCCCGTTCCCCCCCTCCCTTTTTGCAGGGAAAGCATAGCCTCAGTATCTCAGGAACTGAGGCATTTGGGGGCAGCAGTGACGGCAGAGGTGGCTCTCCAGGCTGCGTGCCTCTAGTGTGGGGCGCATTCCTGCAGAGACCTGACCAGGCTAGCACCCTTAGGGCAGTGGCCCAGACTGAGAAAGTTCTAGAAACCTGTCAGAGAAATTCCTGGTCTCCCCAGAGGACAGGGAACAGCTCTGTGGTGCAGTCTGTACATGGGGCCCCCATTCCTTACTGGCAGAGACAGAGGATAGTCCCTGGAGCTGAGCTGCCCTCCAGTCATGTGACTTTGGGCAAGTTATTGAACCTCTCCGGGCCTCTTCTGTAAAATGGGGATGTGCTAGTGTCCACATCCTAGGGCTGTGTAGACTTGAAGTGACACATGGTAGTGCCTGGAACATAGTAAGCACTTGAGTGCTGAGTCTTATCATTTCTCTTTTATTTTATTTTATTTTTTTAATGTTTATTTTTGAAGGAGAGAGAGAGGCAGAGTGCAAGCAGGGGAGGGGCAGAGAGAGGGAGACACAGAATCCCAAGTAGGCTACAGGCTCCGAGCTGTCAGCACAGCCCAACACAGGGCTCCAACCCACAAACTGCGAGGTCATGACCTTATCGGAAGTCGGACATTTAACCGACTGAGCCACCCAGGCTCCCCTTATCATTTCTTCTTTTCATCCAATGCCATCGCCTCACCCCAGGTTCTCCCGTGGGGAAGCCCTGTCTCTTAAAAAATAGGGCTTGGCCCTCATCCCTTCCCCTGCTTGTGAGGTTTCAGAGGGCTCAGCTCTCCTTGCTTCCTGGGGGCTTCTCGAAGGCAGCGTGGGGCCGCCCTTCCCTCCCGGCCCTCTCTGTCCCTGCTTGGAGCTCCATGAGTATTTGTCTGCTCGAGAGAAGGAAGGGCAAGATGAGTGGGGGAGGTGGGAGCGGTGTCTGTCGGGTGCTGGGAGGAAGCCCCCCCACCCCCCCGTCCACGGCTGAGCTGTGGGCGCCCCAGCCTGTGGCCCAGAGCTCTCTCCTTTTGTCTGCGCGTCTGCGGGCACCCAGAGCCCCCCTCCCCGCCTCAACCTGCTCTTTGTTTATCTTCTCTTTGCAGGGCAAGGATCCTCTTCCTGCTGCAGCTACTGACAGACCACGTCCCGGGCATCGGCCTGGTCGCGAGTAAGTGTGGGACAGTCTTGTGAGGATGACTGGGTGTCGCAGATCCTGTGAGTGGCCCCGTGCCCCTGTCTGGGTCCCCTTTATCTCCTTGTAATCTGATTCTTGACAGGAGAGCCCGGAGGCCAGGCTGGGTGGGTGACAGCTCCTGGCCGTGGGCCAGGCTGGCCTGTGGAGACTCAGGGGAAGAGGGTGTCCTGTCATGGAAGGAGCATCAGGCCACATTGGGCTGTCAGCCTTAGTGCTGCCTCAGCAGGACACTGGCTTCTCTGAGCGGGGAATATACGGCCGGGCTGACACCCACTAGACCCGGGCTGTCTGTATCTGTGGCTGGACAAGCTACAGGGCTTCTCTGAGCCTGAGAATCTTTGTAAAGGGGGACAAGAATCACCGAGATGCCACCTCTCTGCGGGCCTCCAGGTGGGAGAGTTGGTTGGACTCCTGGCCAGGCAGACGTGAGCAGCCATATTGGGGCAGCAGCGGCTGAGGTGGGCCTCAGGTAGAGTGCAGTCGGACTGGAGTCCGGCCCTCAGCCCCGAACTCTCTCTCATTGCAGGGCCGCTCATGGATTACTTGCCCACCTGGCAGAAAATTTATTTCTACAGTTGGGGCTGACACACCCCGGGAGTGGGTACAGGGAGGGGCGGGGCACCCTGCTGCGGGGGACAGGGGGTGCCTCACCGTTCGGTCCCCGGGGCCCCTCTGCGATAATAAAACTGACTCTGGCAGTGTCCGAGCATGTGGCCTCTTCATGCCCATTGATCGGGGCACCTGGCGCTCCCATGTGGTCAGGTTCTGCCCACAGCCCGGCCTCCAGAGCCCCCCTACACCCTCTCCACCCTTCACCGCTGTGCCCCATCACCGGGCCGAGAAGCCTCCGCCGGGACTGGGCCTCACGCTCCTCTGGCCACAGAAAGCTGGGGTTTAGCCTCATGGAGCGTGGGAAGCCGCTTGCTGGCAGCTGTAAACCCAGCTTCTCTGTCACCTGTCCCTGTGGCAAGAAACAGGGCCGAACCTGCCCGGTGGATGACAGCGGTCCGCCTGTGTGGCCAGAGCCTCTATATGTCCCTTCCCTGCAGGGCCCCATTCCTGCCGCTGCCCTGGGCGGTGGCCGCCTGTCGGCCTCTCTGTGCCAGAGCCTGGCGAAAGGTGGGCCCAGCTTGCCACAGAGTGGTGCCTCGAGCCCTGAGCCCCCGCCTGGCAGCCGCAAGTTTTCTTTCATAGGCAAAGGTCAGCCACCAGCCGGCACTGGGGCAAATGCTGGGGACGGACGTGGGAGGGGCTGGGAGCCTGAGAGGCTCTGGCGGAAAGCCGGGTAGGTGGAGGTGTGGATGTGAGGAAGTCTAGGGCAGAGGTGGGCGAGTGGGGGATGCTTGCTGCCTACACTGGCGCCTGCGGAGAGCACACCGGTCAGGGAGGCCTCCCTTCAAGCAGGCTCTCAAACTGCTGGGGTGTTTGCAGGGCAGAGGGGGAGAGAGGCTGTGTGTGCAGCAAAGCACGAAAGTGACATCACAGCGCTGTGAGCGGCTGCTGGGGTGGACAGGGAGGGAGGGCGGGGCCAAATCCAACCGGCCATCGCTGGCCAGGTGAGAAACTCGGACCTGCCTCCAGAAGGCATTGGGGATGGGACTTCAAACCTCATCCTGGGGGACACCTGGGGGGCTCGGTTGAGTGACCTTAAGCTCAGGTCATGATCTTGGAGTTTGTGAGTCAGGCACGGCAGGCTCACTACTGTCAGCGAGGGCCCACTTCTGACCCTCTGTTATCACCCTCCACCCTGCTCTCTCTCAAAAATAAGCATTGTTTTTTTAAGCTTCTGTATTTTTGAGCGAGAACCAGCAGAGGAGGGGCAGAGAGAGGGAGACGGAGTCTGAAGCAGGCTCTGCGCTGACAGGGCTCGAACTCACGAACCATGAGATCATGACCTGAGCCCAAGTCAGACGCTTCACTGACTTGAGCCTCCCAAAGAGGCCCCAAAAGTAAACATTAAGAGAAAAAACAAACCCAGTGGCCTGGGGCAGGGGGTGCTGGCGGCAGACGGTGCTGGAGGAGGAGCAGGGGGACACTGCCAGCGGAATGGGGCCGGGTTCGTGGCGGGGACGGCGGGGTGCAGGTGGAACCCGGGCGTACCTCGGGACTGCCTGTGGATGGAGAGGAAGACCGGCATCTCAGAGGCGAGGAGGGTGAGGGACGAGGACTGAGTCGGGCAGTGTCCAGTGCCCATGGTTCCCAGCGGCGGCGAACTGTGGTGAGGACGGAGGGTGTGGACACAGGCTTGTGAGGAACAGTTGTGTGTGGGATGCAGAAAGGGGAGTGACCACTGGGGCTAGAGTGTGGGCGCAGCACAAAAGAACAGTCTGGACTGGGATGCCAGAGCTGGTCAGCCGCAGGGAACTGAGGACCAGGAGCCCAGGTGTCCCTCTCCGGGCCTTGGGCACCTTGGCAGTTACAGGAATGGGGCCGGACCCCCAGTAAGTCGCTTAGAAGTGACTGGGTTTCTGAAGCGCAGAGCCTCACTCGGCCCTCGGGTTCGAATTCCCCAGGCCTGGACTGGGGCCCGGGGTCTCGCGGTTCAGGTCTCTGAGATTCTGCCCTGAGCCAGGTCTGCACGGCACTGATGGGCGGGCATGTCTCCGCCTGAGAAGAGACCGTCTCCGTGCCATCACATTGCATTTATTCATTCAACAAGTATTTCTTGAACGTCCACCAGTTGCGGCTGGGGATCCTGCAGGGACCAAAAGCCCGTTCCGACCCTCAGAAAGCTTCCACCCCGGGGAGCAGCTTGCACGCTTTGCTGCCTAACCTGGAATGTCTCTGTGCAGCCTCAGGAGCGGTGGCAGGGCCCTGGGAGCCCTGAGGCCAGGGCACCTGGAAGCTTCGGGAACAATGGGGAAGTCCCTCAGAGCGGGCTCCCCGCCAGTGGCGTCTCTGAGCGGGCCCAACGGCTGGGGTCTTTGGCTGCCAGGACGCTCCTGACCTCACAGAAGGGGAGGCAGGGCGCAGAGAGCAGGTGGGGACGGTGGGGGCTCTCCGTGCCACCTCCCCCGTGAGCCACACCTCGGGCACACACGCACCTTACCTCACAGGTGAGGAAACGGCCCACTGTTGGGACATGTCCACCTAGCAAGAGGCAAGGCTGGGATTTGAACTGAGATCAGACTCCAAGGGTTTGCGCCCTTAACTCTTGGGCAGCGACACTCGAGCAAGATGTGCTTTGGCACCTGTTGGCCGACAGCGTCAGTGAAAGAAAACCAAAGCCGAGCCTCAGCTGGAAGCTTCCGGCCTAGCCGGGGAGCTGGTGCTGACACTGAGCCCTGGAACTAATGCCCTTTGTGAGGTGGCCCTGGGCGCTGGCAGCAGTTCCGTCCTGCCGGGGGAGGGGCAGGCAGAAGCCTGGGTCAGGGACCAGAGGAGAAGACGGTTCTCGCCATGCTGGGGGCCCCAGAGCCCAGGGCCGGGCTCCGCCTCTTTTTCCTCTACCTCGTCCTGGCAGCCGCCCTCTGCCCCCAGCCACTGAGGTATCTGGGGTCAAAGGGTCGGGGCCGCACAGGACCAGGGGCCTGGAAGGTGCAGGGGGGGTGGGGGGTGGGGCTCTGCCATGCCGCCTCCCTCTCCTCTCCCCTGAGGACAGGCTGGTGCCATTATGCTAGGTGTGGAGGCTCACCCTGTCCCCTACCCTGGGCCTTGACAGGGAGGGAAGAGTGGCCTTTAGGGCCGGGGCTGAGCACCCCAACATCTCCCACAGGCCTCAGCAATCTGTTCCTGAAGAATTTTCAGGCCCGCTGGAACTCTCACAGCCGTTTTCTGGCCTGGTGGACGGTAGTATCTGTCAGCCCTGCCCTGCCCCCCCTCCCCCCCCCATGCGGGACACGTGCCCTAGGGGAGGGCGCCCAGGTCCGGCCTCAGGGTCTTCTCAGCCCAAACAGCACTGTTGGGGGGGGGGGGCTTCAGTGGATTCCTCCAGCCATGCACACCCCTTTTCTCTCCTTAGACTATGGGGTTCGGCCCAAGCACCCCTGGCCACGAGGGCCTCGCCCCCTGCTCGCCCAGGCCCAGCAGCGCAAGCGTGACGGGCCAGACATGGCGGAGTATGACTACGACGCACATCTGTGACGGGAGCCCCTCATAAAGCTATTCTGTACAGCAAAGGCTCGGGCTTTCCTGGGATGGACACCAGCTGGGTGCGGGAGGGGCTCAGGGAGACACACCCACTGCGGTCCAGACAGGAAATGGCACTTTAATAGTTGTGGCCAGGGTGACAGGACCAAGATGGGGCTACAGCCGGGGCAGCCAAGAGGCCCTGGCTGGCCCCGGGGCCAGTCCGGAAGCCGCCTCTTTCTGCCAGGACGGGGCCCCGCCGCAGCTCCCTCCTTCCCTGGTGAGGTCCCACATGTGCCAGGGCCAGCATGACGGCCACCCCAGTGACAGAGCTGGGAACAGGGACTGCACCCCCACCTGCTGCCGTTTCCTTACTGCGAAGTCCTCAGGAGGTGGCTGGGCTCAGCCTGAGCTCGGGGCCCTCAGCCGGGGTTGGGAGCTGGGGATGGGATGGGGTGGGCACCAGCAGGTGGCGTGGACTTTGTCAAGGCAGGAGCCACGGCCAGAGAGCCAGAGGCCCCGGCAAAGGAAGGGAGGCCCAGTATGGGACAGAGCCCTCGGCTCCTCCCGTGGGCATCCTTCCCGGCTAGAGAGCGGACACCTCTCCAGCCCCGCCCCGCCCCAATCCCCGGGCAGCCTGCTCCATCCTCCATAGATGAATCTAGTCCCCTATATTACAATAAACTGCGTTTGTCTCTCCCCATAAACCCCGCCCTCCCCCACCCTCGGCCAAAGGCCCCCGCTTCCCCACCCTCTGGTGGTGCTGGGCGCCCCTCCTCGAGCGGTGCCGAGTCCTGTCAGCAGCTAGCTGGCCCGGCGCTGGCCCGGCGCTGGCCCGAGGGCCCGGGGATGTGGAGGGCGGGGCAGCGCCGCTACTCCAGGTAGATGTCTTCCGTGGGGCAGGTGTACTCCACGAACTGCTTGTAGAACTGCTGGAATGCTCTCCTAGGAAGCAGGGAGACACACAGGTGACGGGATGGACAGGCTCTCCACCCAAGGTTTTCAGCCCGGAGCCTCGGGTCCCTGGGTGGCCGGGGCTCCGGGTCCCCAGACAGAGCTGCTCCGCGCTGTCCTCTACACACTGCGCTTCCGGGGTGTGACTTCAGTTGAAGGAAGGGTCCACCCGCCAAAACGTTTGGGAGCTACTCTCTCAACACCACCCAGCCCTGACTCCAGGCCACGAGGCACGCGGGGCGGTGGGGACCGGGGTGGGCTGAGCACGGTGGGGAGGCGCCCCGGGGCTGGGTGCTTGGCAAGATCCACACGCGGGGACTTACCCCACGGATTCTGCCAGGGCCTTCGTGGATTCCTCAGACACAAAGACGTGGCAGGCAAACCGGTGGTCAGCGGGGTGCTTGGTGATGAAGCCAAAGTACCTGTGGGAGGGCAGGACAAGGGCTCAGTCCCCTCCCTGGCACACTCGCAGGCCCCAGTCCTACCTTGAGAGCTCCAGGCCACCCCTTGACGCCTCTACCTCTGTCCCTTCCCACTTACTTGTTGTTCTTTGGATGGTATCCACAGAAAGAGATGTTTTTTAACTGGAAAAAGTGGCTACATTTATTCCCCTATGGAAGGGAGAAGAGAAGCAGGGGTCATCAGCATACGGGGGGCTACAGGCTGGAGATCTGGTGGGGGGGCTGGGATTGGGGAGGTCACCTTGGCTTCCTGGGAATCATCAGCCTTGACGCCTATCTTCACACCCCGCACGCTGATCTCCAGGACGCAGCTGGAGGGCGGGTTAAAGTGCACGGTGAGCCGGCGGGTGGTGGCGATCTGCGGGTGAGGGACGGGAATCAGGCGCTGGTGTCCCTCTCCTTTAGGAGAGGCTAGGAACGGGGCTGGGGGCGGGCGCTCGACCCAGGGGAGCAGGGAGCCGGCACCTTTTGCATAGCAGCACAGAGCACGTCGTTGCCCTTGTGATAGGGGACCTGGACTGAGCCCAGGAACTTCACCCGGAACTGGTCCACCCAGTCGCTGTTTTTGGTCAGGGCTGGAAAGCAAGCGTGAAGTGAGGAGTGGCAGAGCCAGCAGAGGGTGCCACAGTCCGCAGACAGCCCGGCTCAGCCGGGCCTTGCTCTTCTCCGTTGTGAAAGGGACCTGATGTCACCTCTGCGAGGGCCCTTCCCAGTGGGCCAAATTGGGGCCAGGGCGGAGGCGGGGCCCGGTGGCACCAAGGAGGGGAAAGGACGCTACCTGCCATTTGTTCAGGCTCCTTGGTGACCTCGATGGCATAGTAGGCAGGAAAGACGCCCCGGGCGCCTGTGCGCATATTGTAGGCCTCATACCAGTAGTCCTCGGCCTGTAGCTCCACCAGCAGAGGGTCATCCACCTCCAGCTCAAGTTCGTCTTCATGTCGAGGCACAAACCTGTCCCCAACAAGGGCAAGTGAGGAAGTCAGCAGCGGGGCCTCCCCCGCCAGGCCAGCCGTCTACTCCCCAGCCCACTCTAGGGTCAGACGCCGTAAGAGCAGCGCTAATTCAGTGAACATCCGCAGAGTCTCCTGAGTGCCTGTTATGGTGCTAGTTCCCGGGGAAGAGCAAGGTCATGCAGACACAGGCCTGCTGTCCAGGAACTTGTGGGCTAAGGGAGAAAGTGCCCAGAGCCATCGGTAAAACAGAGAGCTAACAGGAAGTGAGCACTTCTCTGTGGAGGAGGGGGAGGGGCGTGCCCTGTGTGTGGTCGGCACAGTCTCCGCTGGGCACCCTCCTGGGCTCCGGCCCCCCAGCCGGACTAGGTGCTCCATCCCCAGGCTTGGCAGCGCGGCACCGCACAGGGCCACGCTGGAGGAAGCCATCACACCATCACCCCGCTCGGAGTTCCGAGGGCAGACGCCGTACCCCTGGGGCTGAGTCGCGGGATGAATGCCAGCGCCAGCGGCAGGGTCTAGGCCACGCACTGAGGGCAGAGCAGGGAGGGGGTGGCCCGCTGCCGCCTGGCCAGCCCAACCCTGCTGCTCTTACCTGAATATGGCCCGGTGTGTCTGCTCCTGTTCCTCCCCGTTGATGACACAGGAGAAGAGCCCGAAGGACTCTGCACCTGCAGGTGAGGGGGACGGGCTGGAGGAGAGTGGTCCCCCCTCTAGCTGAGGTTTAGGGGGCAGGTGGCAAGCTCTTGGTCCTAACGCCTTGAAGCAGATGGGCGAGGCCACTCCAGGAACACCCCGATTCGGCTCTCCCCCTCCCGGGCCCCCGACCGCTCCTGCTGCAGACTCACTGGAGGAGCGTGAGCGGCCGCTCATGAAGACATTCAGGAACTTCTTAGAGAAGTGGACGTCGGGCTCGTCGGGCGTGGAGTCCTCGGAGAGGCAGGCAGGGGGCCGCGGCCGGGGGGCCTCCTCATATTCCTCCCCGATGGCCGACTCATAGGGCGAGGAGGCAGAGGCGCAGTTGTCATAGACGGTGGCCGAGTCGCTCTCGTCGCTGTAGTCTCCGAAGCATGGCCGCAGGCTCACCAGCTCCAGCTGCGCGTGCTCATCCACCACCAGCGTGTACTTGACCGAGTCGTAGGACAAGGCGCTGGTGTCCGAGCTCAGCGAGGCCCGCGGAGGCGGCGGGGGCTCCCCCAGGCTCCCCCGCCACCCTCCGCCCGGCGGCTCTGACCGCTCTGGAGACGACAAGCAGTCGAAGCCCTCGTCCTCCTCACTGATGGAGGGGTGCGGCCGCCCTGCGGTGGAGGGGTAGGCGGCGGGGTCTGGATCGGAGCTGACGGACATCCGGCTCTCAGCCGGCGGCAGGAAGGCGGAGGTGGGCTCTGCAGGGTCCGGGGGCCTCTGCACTGGCGTCAGGTAGATCTCCTCTGTGGCCTCCAGCCGCACGTCCGCCTGGTAGTGGATGCGGTCGCGATGCGAGTGGCCACGGCCACTCGGTGGGGCAGCAGTGGGGCCGCCGGGAGGGGCCATCTGCGTGGCTGCGCTGCGGCGGCAAGGGCTGTCGGTGGAGGTGCCTCGGTCCTTGGTGGTGGCGGGGCTGCTCGGGGGCGGCAGCTCATCGCTCAGGCAGATGTGTTCATGTGGAGGCGTCTGCTCTCCTGGAGGGCAGGCAGGCAGGCCAGCGTCAGCAGGGAAGGCGGGGAGGCTCGCCCCGGACTCCCAGGCCACCTGCCATCCCCTACTCAGCACGTGGGACACAGAGAGCAAGGTGAAGGCTCCCCGGCACGAGGCCATGGTGGGCTCCGGGGTCAGTCCTCTCACTGCTGCCCCAGTTGACTTCAGATGAGCCGGCCCAGGGCTACGGGACAGGCAGTTTACCTCAACTCAGCAAGACGGAAACTGCCAGGCTGGCTCTCTACAGGGGGGACTGAGGGCAGGTGGCGCTCCAGGTACGGGAAAGGGTCCCGACTTACCTGTCTTCAGGGGTGAGGATGATCGAGACACCCGATCCTGCCAACTGTGCTTCTTGCCCAGAGAATTATTATTCAGTGTGTCCTGTGCAGAAAACAAGAGGCCCTTATGACAGAAGCAGTCAACAGTGCCCGGCACAGGGAGGCCCCGGCCCCGCCCCCATCAGGCCATCCCTAGGCCATGTGCTGCGCACCCCCAACCCTCCTCCAGCAGGCAGGAGGGGTGGCCAAGCCCCAGCTCTCCCAGCCAGACCTACTGGCTCTAGACAGTTCTCCCTCCTGACTTAGGGAAGCCGGCCAGCCCTCGGGGGAGCTGCTCTTATCAGCCTCAGCATAGGTGGTGATGGCCAATATGTGTGGTGGTGAGTGGGGGAGGAGTGGAGGAGAAGCAGGAGCCATCTGGGGACAGAGCCAGACCCCCAGTCCCAGACACTGAGGCTTTACATGTAGATGCTCACTTCCAGCCAAGTCCTGGAGCTCTGGAAGCTATGACTTGGGGAAGGGGCAGACACATTCTGGTAGAAGCTGAAAAAAGGACGAGGAAGGGTCTCCCAGCAGACAGCGGGGGAACTGGGATGAATCATGCAAATGATGAATCAGTAACATGGTTCCCAGACCCCTCCAGGAGCACATGACGGAGTTATGACAGATGTAGCTGTCAGCGGCTTTCCTTCCTGGATCTCCAGGGCTGCCCATCCCACGTCATTGGTGC